GTTTCGTATTATTGACTGTCTTTATTTTGACAAAACAAATATGTTGAGAATGCCCATTTTCTTTAATAAATCAGACTCTTATTTTCATAAAGCCTCCGGCTTTTACTAGTATCAATGAGCATGACACTAGCACTGTAATTCAGGCTTGTGAAGCGCTCCTTAAATAAAACTAAAATATCTATATTTACACACATGTTATTCTAACGACACCAAAACCTTGCACCGGAAATAGTAAAAAAAATCAAATCAAATAAAAATTTATTTATTGTCAGTATGTAAATATAACATTTCACAAAACATAAGCTAAGTATAGCTTTTGACTGACATAAAAAATGTTAAGAATGCCAATTTTCTTAAATAAATCAGACTATTTATGTTTACTTTTTGAAGTAACTGTATTTTACTTGAAGACGTTGAAGGTTATAAACATGAAGTTCTGAGTTTTCTGACATGATGGTCTGTAGAACTTGATAATGACATATCTTAGAACATTGATGTAGATTATAAATTCAACGAGTGTATAATTATGTGTCAAATTAAATGCTAGACATTGTAAGAACAATATTGACATGATTGCCATTGTTTGAAAAGACTTGGAGAAGTAGCTCCCTTCAATGTCTTGTTTTTAATTAGGAAATATGCTGTAGATTATAAATTTTGAGTGTGTTGTTCAGATTAATTAATACACAGTTTAAAATTCTGATGCTCGGTGAAATGATTAAAAAAGCATTTGAATGATATTCATGCATTATTTTACTACAACACAAGAAAAATGGATATCGGTTCGATTTAAGATATAGATAATACGCCTTTAGCAAGATCTATAAAAAATATATTGTAGTGTGTGGAAAAATAATTTTTTTGCCGTCAGATGTTAATATGTAAACAATACCTTTCCTCATATAATGCAATACCAATTAAAACCGTGTATCCTGCTGACGACTCAGGATCATTATACCGTTTTAGTAATTGGTAAGAATAGGGAATATGTATGAATTATTGGCAGTCTTTTTGTACCATTTGTTACATTGGGCATATTATTATTTAGACAAAAATATCATTGGTGAAGTGTGAACCATAAGTACCATAGTAATATTAGTAATTTTAGATACAGAAGTAATTTTTTGTAAGTGAAGTGTAAACACTAGTGTATAAGTAATTTTTGAGACAAAAATAGCATTAATGAAACTTGTAAGTGTAAGTTAAATTTTTGAGACAGAAATATCTTTGGTGAAGTGTGAACACCATAGTTTAAGTAAGTTTTGACATAAATACTGTAAAATGTATGAACAAGTTACTTGAACCAGTACCAGTGCTCAGTACTGGTAATAATTTGTAAAATGATACTTTTTGTACAGTTCTTTAATTGAAATGAATTTTTCATAAAACGGAAAAAACAGTCTTAAAGTTTACTAACAAATTACCATCTTTAGTGCGGTATTATCTACTTCACATGGTCTTTCTGAATCAGATCTTTCTAAGTAACGTACAAAATCTGTTACTTTGACAATGTACATTATTTCCAAAGCACTAGAATGAAGAAGGTAGCAAGAGAGAAAGAGTAAAACTTAATCGTTGAAACATTTGGTCGGGGTTTTTTCCCCGCTTTTACTGTTCTCCGCCACGACAAGATTGATATGTTAGTGTTGGCAGATAGTATTGAACTGCCGCAAACTTCTTTTCTCCCCGGCTAGATGATTACCTAATTACCGTTTTTAATTAGACATAGCCGCTCAATTTACGTACAGGAAACAATTTATGGGATTATACCAAGACTATCTGTTTTTCTACAGCGTTTGATTCTGACTCTTCTCTATTTCACAACTAAGCGGAAAAAGGCAATTCCCGAAAGAGACGAACATTGTTTTACTTTTGATATTTTCTTGTACATAACGTTCAGGATTTTCTTCTTGTATTTCTATGAGTTTTCGAATTATTTTTTGAGTCCTTTTATTTCTTGCTTTTAGACAGTGTTTGCAGGGTTATTTTTTTTAAGTAGAGCAGTAAATTTAAGTCACCATTAGAACATGTAGAATGACTTTTACTGTATTAGTGCTATACATGTAAAAGCCAACCAAAAAGAAAAGTGTGAAACTGCAATGCCAAGACTTTAGATTATATAGCATGTAGCATCTCCTAGCAGATAGGTACAAATATTTTAAAGATAATGCAACTTTGGAAAAATCAAGAAAATTCCGTATGTGACCTAATTTCTGACTTAAGCATTGAAGAATAATGCGACTTTTTCTAGAACTGATACATCAGGCGAGCCATGTAGTCAAACCATCTGATGGCCCTCTTGTTTTTGAAAGTTGTATATCAACATCATAAATAATATCTTCACTTATAGTAATTTTATTGTCTGTCTTTCTGATATTGAAAGTTCATATAAATGAAAATTATAAAAGTTTAGAATGGAAAACAAAAATTATAAAAAGAAAAAATGATTTGAATGTTTGAAGCTGATCTTCATCTTTTATTTTTCTTTAGTATTGAGTATGAATATAATTTATATATCAATATTTGAATGAATGAATCAGGGCTCACACTGGCTCAAATGAAATAATAGCCAATATTTTCAACTTAAAAAAATAATAGCCAAAAGTTTAGCGGACTATTCACCATTTAGCGATTAACAACATAAGCAGTTGATTAAATAAACATTACATATAAAACTTTTTCAGTTTTATAAGGATTCTCAAATAAACTGACACATTTGTGTATATTGATAACTACCTTTTTTAAAATAGAACCACAACTTTAATTGTTATTATAGAACAGAATAAAAACATTATAATTCGTATAATTACTGTACAACAATAATATTAAAGATTCATTATAACTTTACATAATGCTGTTATCAGACAACTTTTTTTGTTTGTTCTAATCAAATTTTGTCAGCTTATCATAACCACTGTCAATTTCAACATTTCACATCTATGTCATATTCTGATATTAGCTATAGAAATAACACAAGTTTGCAAACTCATTTACAGAATGCAGCCTTTTTTCTGCGTAATTTACTGAAAAATATCATCATCACCAATGTTATACAAATTTTCTGCCATAGTAGTAAAGATTTTTAAACAGAACATAGCTTATTTCACCTTTAAATAAATATCAAAATTATCGGTGTCGCGAAAATATGTGACAATCGGATTTTTCCTGTTTTCTGAAGAAATATTCACAATTTTGGTTGTTGTGCAAATAGTTGTTTGGAAGTTTATACTTTTTAAATATTTAACCATTGTTTTCCACTGGCGATTTAGTTAAGTAGCTTAAAACAAAAAAAAATATCAAAATTTGCAATTACTGCAAATCACGGTAAATTTTGGGTAAGTCAATATCCAGTTTATCAATTTTAAAACGATTTTTGTGGCTAATTGACGGATATTTGATGGCTATTATAAATGCTGGACAATATCTTTAAAGTACTTATACAATTATACATCTCGCATGTATTTTATCACCTCGGGCAATATAGTTAGCACCACGTGACCGGTAAAAAGTTGACACTCAATTAAATGCACCCCGCTGGTGTTAATTGGGTCTACTGCATTCATTATCGATTTTTACACCTTATATAAACACTGTTGGAAGTAAAAAATAATCGCCAGATTTTGTAGCCAAAATGCAAAAATAATCGCCAATCTTATAAAATAATCGCAAATGGCGACTATGGCGACCGACAGCGTGAGCCCTGTGAATGAAAAAATGAATGAATGAATGATTGTCAAGATTTTCTCTTGTCCCTATTGTCTCTTAGGTGTGAAAGAGATAACCTTCTTTGGTCTTTAATAATGTTTCCTTATTTATATAGCGTATCTAAATATTTTATATTTATTATTAAATACATTTGTAATAATATTTATACCGGTAGCTATGAATGAAAATAAATCTTTTGATTCTAAAAATGACAGAAAATGACGTCAGTTTTCCTTTTGTGTGCAACAGAATAAAGTAACTTTAGTTATTTATAGTTTATATTAGAGGTAACTCATCATTCATGCTGGGAATTCATATAAATACAAATGAGAGTCCCCTGTGATCGATCTTCACCTATAAGTACAATAATTATGCAAAAAAAAACCACCACTTTGATCAGCCCCAGATTATGCTATTGTCTCTTACAAATTTTGTATTATAGACATAATCCCAGCTTTATTTTTTTTAATTGATCAGTTATAGTTTAATTAAAGAGGTTTCCATTCATCAAAAACGTCTAAGAATGTATATGGATGCTTTACATAGCAATTATTATTAACTTCCCATGGCCGCCATTTTTAGGATCATTCCCAAAATATTATACGCTTCAAAAAAATCTTGCATTAATCTATCGCCTTCATGAAAACTGATAAAAATATTTTACAAATTGGTGCTATATAAATAAATATTTTTCTTCATATGTGTGCAATTAATTAATTAATTAATTTGACAATTCACCAAAAGCAAAAGGGTTAAGATTTGAGAAAATGGAAGTTACCATGTTTTGAGATCTTGTACTCGACAGTGACAATTGTTCATTTCTGTAATCTTTGGCTCAGGCCTAAGCTTTTATTGGAGGTTAATTCCATTAAAATTTTGTTATTTTTCACTTGTTGAAATTAAAATCAGACTTTAGAAGTAACAGGTCAAAATGGTTTTCAGTGGTCACATATGAAATTTGAATGATAAGGGGAAAAAAAGCAAAAACAGTAGTACATTGCCAACCTTGCGAAATTTATGATGGTTGTGTGCTTTTTTTATTGGAAACTGAAAAATAACCAGACACACTTATGACAGAAGAATTAACCTTTTACAGTTTACTTTGCATTATTAGTTGAAATATTGTATATTACTGAACAAATTCTGTCAGTTTTTTGTGCCAGGACGGACACAAATGCAGACAGAATCGACTTTTAACTGCTGTCAATTAAACACGTTCTTGTCCAATTACAATAAACCAATATGATTACTTTTCACAGATTTTCATATATATTTTTTTGTACATATTTTTTCAGAAATGTGGCGGAGTAGAAGCATTCCTTTTAGCTGTTTACAATTTGGTAAGTCACCGTTATTTCCTTCATCCCTTAGCATCATATTTTCTCAAACTTTTACTCAATTCTTATAATATTGCAGTATCAAGTATAGCGATTCTAATTGAAATTACTGCTTATTAATTGGCCAGTGCCCCTTAGGTACATTTACGAAAGTGGACATTAACTGAAAAATGTAGAATATCGGAATCTTGTTGACCAGTGTCTGTAAATTGTAATATTTTTGTGAAAGTTGCTTTACAGAATCTTCTTTAAGGACATCATAAGCTGTGCTAAGTACAGGCTAACCTTTGTTAAAGACCACCTTTGAATAAAGATCACAATGTGTATATAGGTCACCCTGAGACAACCTGTCATTGATTATATAGAATAAAGTAACCTCCAAATAAAGACCACTTGTCTATAAAAGAAATGTTCGGCCTCTACCTTGGATGGCCTTTGTTTACAGGTTTGATTGTATTGTGTTAAAATATTAATTTTACCAGCAAAGAAGAACAAGGTGTAAAAAAAGATAACTCCAACCAGGGGTGTAGCATGCAATTTGTTCAATTTACGATTATTTTATACAAAATCATAGATTAGTTCATACTTTTACTGCAATTGCGGAGGATTAGTTCTATGCTTACAGAAAAATTCTTGAATCCATTTCTGAAATCTGAACCAATACTAATTAGAAATACTAGCATAAAATTTCTTGCTCAAAGATTAACAATGGCTTGCTTTTGACTGGGTTTGAATCCATGGGGTCAGCAATTCATGGATTACTTGTCTGGCATGTTAACCACTCAGCCATGCCGTCACAGACTTGAAAGACGTATTGGACCCATTTTATGCTCAAATTCTGCATATAAAAATTAATATTCCTATGTAAATTCAAGTCAGAGATTAACATTACTTAGCTCAAGATTTACTTTCTTCAACCAAAACCGAGATTGGAAATTGAATTATAACAGTCATTCATTATGCATTTCTTAAAAAAAGTGAGAATTATGAAAGTTTTCACTTTCTTTATTATGGATATATAAGAAATGTTTGTCAGTTAGATCTAAATTTTATATTTTAAAGGTGAAAGCAAAAAGGTATTTTTTCCCACGAGTGGAAACATCCCCATTTTTCAGGGGGGGGGCAGCTATGTCCAGATAAAATTAAATTTTTTTCCCTAAAAATGATGTCATCATTGGGTTTATCAATAAGTTCACTTAAGATATTTAGTGTGATTAAAGGTATATTTGAGAAATATAAATGATAGCATTTCTGAGGCATGTACATGTAAGTCAGCTTTTAAGGTTGTTCTTTTTTTTGCATATGAGGGAGCTATCTAGGAGTGATTACGCTTAAGCTTACGGGAGGATCGAAATTATTATTTAGCTTGAACTAAGTTTGTTAGACAGGCAACATAGATGTTCTTTCACCAGAGTAAAAGATCATTGTGGTCTTGCTTTGTGGTTTTTGTTGATATTTTTTTGTTTGATGATGACAATGTCTGTATATTTATAATATAATTTCAGCAAGTCATGCCATAAATTGTTATAAATTATGACATATTGTCATTTTCCAAGTCAGTATTCTTAGAAGTAAACATTGATGAATTAAGAGTTGAAACTTTGACATAAACGTGATTTACAGCAGTTGCTGTTTTAAGGAAAAGTGCTTTTTCATTTTTATAAAAGTTCATCATCTTATAAGGGTCATTTCATTACAGAGTAGGGTTAATTACTCTGATGGTTAATTTTGATAGCAATTTTTTCAGACACGAAATGTTTATTTTTACATTTGATTTATAAATTTCATTAATTGGTTCACTTATCATAGATATAACAACCTTATGAAAGTGTAACATTACACTGTGGCTGAGGGGTTGCCTTTACAGGTTGAGGCATCAGAGTTGCAGCCACCATTCAACCCTGTGTGATGGTAGGAGGTGACTAAATGGGTTTCGAATTTAATTTAATTTAATTTAACTCTATGCTTCTCTTAGCTCCAGCAGATGAGGTTGTTTTTGACCACTTGTAATGCTTGTAACACCCAAGATTTAGCTATAAGATCATCTTTCCTTTTTTGGGCACCATATGACCTAAACTGTGTTGGTGCAGTCAGTAAATTTAAACCAAACAAAAAAACAAAGTGTTACATGGATATTTCTATGCTGTATATCAGATGATTAATTTGTTGCCTTATAAATGTTGGATAATGTCATTTAACAAATACATGGAGTTTATCTTTTTATAATGCTTGAATGTCAGATGGATTATGATTTTGTTGTCCTGTGAATTAATTCTACAACCTTTTAATGGAGATCTGATGGTTTCATTCTGTCCTTTACTTCAACAACTTTGCTTTCGAATCCTGATAGGGATTTTGGTTTCTTTCATGTGAGGAAGCTTAATCCAGCTAGCTTAGGGGACATTGGTGGTTCTACTCAGATGCCCATTTGTGCATGACAATTACTGCTCGGAAGGGCACCTGAGGTCTTCCTTGACCAGTTAAGCTGGAACGTCGCCATATGACCTATACTGCGTCAGTGTGTGACGTAAAACTCAATAGAACAAACAAGCAAAATGGAATGAACTATTTCTGAATATCATAATTTTCTCTTTGAATATCATAGATGTATACGCACTTCATATAATATAGAAAATTCTCTCTGTAAATGTTTATTAATATAACTATTAAAAATTAAAAAATGTTTTGCAATGATTATTAGGCTTATAACTGAAATATGTTGCTTGTTTGTTAACAATATTATTGCAATAATCATTTCTGTTATATTAGAGGGAAACATTGCAGAAATTGTCAAAATAAAGTCCATGCAAGGATTGTCAACTGTACAGTATTTGTATTAAAGGTACAAGTGTAAATTTGTAATAATTGCAGAATACTAATTTTGTGTCATTTAGATTTAGTTGAGATTGACCCCTCGAAGGCACTCATAATAGAAAAATGTGAATGACCGAAATTGCTGGAATTATAATTGAAGGAAGCTGAGAAAATTACTCCTGTATTAATTAATTGATCTAGTCATTTTTTACAAGTTTTTACATGTTTAAGTATATATTAAATCATGTCCTATCTGATAGGGTTGATTATAATTTCTGATGGAATCATTTATGGCTGCAAGGGTATGATATTATAGAAGACTTAAGATGAGGCTACAAGACTAGTCTTTTAAATGCAATTAATTTTAGCTGATTTGTTTTGAAGAATAAGTTGATATATTTATCACTGCATTGTTGTTGTTGTCATGCTTAAACTTCATTGTAGCTGGTAGTGTCAACATAAAATTTGAAATACTTGCTTATCATATATGACAAGGTGCCAATAAGGTCAGATTAATGAAATTTGTCTATTTTTTTATAACTTTGTTATTTATTCATAGGTTTGATTAATACAAAAGTACACATAAGAAAAAACTACATGTTGAGTTATTTTAGTATGACCTTGACCTTTTTATGACCTTTACCATCAAGTTCAGATTACTGGAATTTGCTAAAATTGTTTTCATTACTAAAAATTCATGGTAATATAAACTAATAGATTTGATTCTTTCCTTTATTCAACAAAATATTTGTCACTAAAATTGTACTTATTGCCAAAGTGCGAAAGATCGTTCAGCTTTGACACCCCAAATGAGTAACTGAAACAGGATACCAAACTATAAAAGTCTTCGTAAAATAAAAAATAATATATTTTTTTGGCTGGTTTAATGGGCCTTTAAAGAATCTGGGTGCAAAATGGCGGAAATGTTAAAAAAACAACAAAGTATTTAAGGGAAAATTGCTTCGTTTTCCTCAAAGGGGCCCTTGGGGGGAGGGAAAACCCCAGTGTTTTGGGGTAATGGGAAATTTAAAGTTTTTTTAAGTAATTATTTTTCCTGCGGAAACTAAAATTTCTTTTTAAACTATGTTCCCATGGAAAACAGTTTAAAGGGATGACATTTTTTTTTTGGGCTTTTTCGCACCATTAAAACAATTGATTTTCAAGCGAGGCTGCCTGAAGTGGAGATAGATCACTAAATAGATGAAGGTACACATTGCTTTTTTTTTTGTTCACTTCCCCGAGTTTCCAGTTTGCAGGTAAATATATCTTGTTTAAATTTCGTTAGCAGAGAATTATTCCATGGTTAAAGTTTTTTTCTTACAGAAAGTAAGTGTCAATTATTTTAAGGGGATCACTCCATTCTTATCACAGGCTTAGACTGAAAGGCATTATTAGCAATGTGTTTAAAGCAGCGCGCCTCACATTCATGCTAATTTTCATGAAAATTTTAAAAATGTATTAAAATTTTGAGTGTGTCATTATTGTGAAGTAACCAAAAGGAAGCAATTTACACATTATCAATGACACTTACAAACCACGTAAATTACCAAAATGTGGTCAAAATATGCATAGATAGACTTTACTGCGTTCAGTAACACAGTAGAAATATAGTTGTAAATACTGAAAAATCAGTCATTAATCACACATTATATGTAAAATATTACTTGAATCTTGAAACATTTTACTTTCCTTTACATCTTAATACATTTTTCTCAAGTTTGATTTTATTGAAATGTTTGGACTCATCTTGAGGCATGTATAGCTTTAAGTATCCATCAAACTTTGTATACATAAATCTAGTATGAAAAAATGGCTCTGATGACTTTGATGACTTTCCCAAGTATAAGATGTTTTACAATAGAATATGTGTCAAAAGAAGCCATATAAAAATTTGCCATGTCTCAGTGAAAGTGGCTCTTGAACACAATTAACAGGCCAAGTGTCCCATTTTCTGAAAAGAAAAAAAAATGTTATAGTATTATTATGAACACATGCAACCATGCAATTGAATTAAAAGCTTCAATATTTGTTCAAAGTGAACCATGGAATCACATATAAACCAAAAATATTGCAGTTTTAAACTTGAATCATTGTTGAATTAATATTACAGTCATTTAAATTCAATATGAATCATTATTAATAAACATTTGAATCCAATTCAATGGTTGACTAACAAGTATAATATTGCA